TTTCCTTCCCATGGAGTCTCTTAGTCTTTCTTTCCTAATTATGTAATGGAGTGATGCTGACAGTCTCATTGATTCTCCCTGCCTTTGGCAAAAGGGGTTGGACAGGCCCACAGGAGCTGTGCCAGCCACCTAGGCAGTTGTGGGCCTGTCCAGCTGTTTCCCAGGTCAGCCGAGGGCTGCTGGACCTTCCCAAGCAGAGCTGAAAAAAGAGGTGGTAGACCACTTCTGGGATGGAGGTAGCTAGATAACATTAAGATGTTGGTGGGGATAGAGCTGCAGTGCAGACCCTCAAATTCTCCTCCTCTCCTTCTACCTTCTCCAGGCTCTCCCTCGCACTCCCTGGGCTACTTCTACTGGCAACTGCCAGAGCCCAGCCAGGGGCTGCCCCAGTTCTTCCTTAGGGGCTACTTGGATGACCAGCCCATCGCTCGCTTTGACAGCCTCACCAGGAAGATGGAGCCTCTGGTGCCCTGGATGGAGGAGGCCGAGAAGGAGATGTTTTTGGCCCCTGAGTGGGTCTTTGGTGCTGACCTGGAGCAGTTATCACAACGGGACCATCATGGTGGAGGTGAGCAGAGCCAGTGACATCTTTGGCTTCCAAAAGTGTATTTTGTTTCCTTAAAAAGAAAAATACACACACCAAATACACCACGCACATTTTTCTCCCTCTTTCTCCTCCTCCCTTACGCTTTATATGCCTTGCTCCACCCCAAAGTTTAATTGGATCACCTGACTAGACTTTGCTCCTTGTGGAATGAAAAGGAGAAAGAGAAATCAGGTTTTGCTACCAAGGAGAAAAGATAGTCCATTTAACCTTAACTCAGCTTTATGTATGTATTGATAATTTTTTATTTGTGCATTGACGTATTATTATTTGGCACATAGAAATGGTCATAACGTCTTGTATCTATTGGTATGGAATTAAATTGTTTTGCTAGGCAGGGATGACAACAACAGATCTTCTGTCTTCCTGCTCAGGAATACCAGACTATTAAGGTGATGGACAAGAACCTGGCGTCAAGTGTACTCATGCTGCTTTCTTTTTAACTGCTTCTCAGCTTGCCAACAATCTGGGAGGGGAGGAAGGGAAGAGGGAAATGGAATGTGAGTTTTAAACATCAGCCCATAAGAACCAAGGTCACTGCAGCAGGTGTTGGCCAGATTTTCAAGACATCTTCTCATAACAATATTGTGACACTCAATTGGACAATGAGACCGGCTGTCAGGCCTGCAGTTATATCCCTTTTAGGATCTTTGGCCTGCCACACTCTCTCTTATTTCATTATGCTGTTTCATTAGTGTAGTGGTTGGGAGGGGGGAATAGAAAGAAGTAGAATTGTGGAATGTGTTGTTGTCATTCTTTTCTAGAAGCCCAAGGTCATCTTTTGTCTCTGCACCTCTGCACCTGACCGGAACCAGCTGGGTGGAGATGCCAGTGTGGGCGAAGAAGATTGGACCATGTGATGGGTTTATGGGTGTGGGGAACAGATCATGAACTTTCAACTGGGTGGAATCCCAGGAAGGTTCAGATTTGGGATTCCACAGATGTACCAAGATGTCTGATTTATTAAATTGGAACTTTAAGGATAGTTTTGCCTTGGACTCTGATTTAATTCTGCATGATACTTGGAACGCTGACACAGGCATTAATAGGAGGGAGGCAGGATTCCAAACTTCAATTATATTGAATTACCTGGGAATTAGCCAGAGTTGGTTATACTTTCATTCTGTGCTGAAATGATGTACTCAATAAAGCTTTGCATTAAGAGATCAAATCATCTCAACGGTGCTTGCTGGGTTGGGTTCATCCATCGTAACCTTGACTCCAGGTACCAAATTGCTTAGGGATGTTTTTAGTGATGAGGAATGTTATTGATAATATAAAATCTTTCCATACCTTGTAACCTTTAACTGAACTGTGTTGTTATGACTATTGAAGAGGTATGTCCAATGTTTTTCTTAAAGTTAAGACTGAAAAATGCTTAAGCTACTTGTGACTATGATTGCTTTTCAAGTTGCCAAAGAACTGAAGGGGAAGAGAAGGGTGAGATGCCAATTGTAGATGTAAGATTGTAGATGGGGATACAATCTTCAACCGTGAGAGCCAAGGACACTTCTGCAGGTGTCGCCCAAGACATAGACTATTATCAAAACAACTGGCTGATTCCTAATTGGACCATGTGACCTATTCCATGGGAGGAGGGGATGAAACTCATTTTAATTATGCATATTTGTGCAGGAAAATTTAGAGTTGGTTTTGCTTTCTTCTGTACTCAATAAAGTTTTGCTTTGGGGATTTTAAAGTTCTTGAAGATCTCTTTTTATTGAGTCTGTTAGTCAGATGATTGACCCTTAATGATTGGTCTATAATTGCTTCATGCAAATGGATGCTTTTCAGAATGGTATAAAAAGAAGTTCACTCTAAGCAGGTTATACCTATTTTGGAACTTGCTTTCTGGTAATTTTTTATTTACAAATAAAAGCCTTTTTTTCTTGCCGCCTATCTAGTGTGGTTCATTGAGCCCACACACCAGGTAAAAGGACTTTAGGTTTCTGGAACACAGGTAAACGTTACTTGTGTGTAGGGAGAGGAATTCTGGGCCATTCTAATTCACCTCTTCCTGGTCTCTTTCAGGGCTTCACACCTGGCAGGTGGTTTTGGGCTGTGAGTTCAGTGAAGACAGGAGCAAAAGAGGCTTTTTGCACTATGGCTATGATGGGAGGGACTTCATCAGCTTCGATAAGGAGACCCTCAGATGGGTGACAGCTCAGCCCCAGGCCCAGAAGGTCAAGAAGAAGTGGGAGGAGAATCCAGAGTGGTTGGAGAAAATGAAAGCCTTCCTGGAGAAAACCTGCATTGAGTGGTTGCAGACATACCTGTTGTATAGAAAGAAGGTTCTGGAGACGATAGGTAAGTAGTGGTGAGGGAGGGTTTCCACTGTGCATTATTATTTGTTTGTTTGTTTATTATGTATTTAGAATAATGTATTAACTTTATATAGCCACCAAACAAACACATACACAGTAGTGATTCTGGGTGTTGTAGAACATTAAACATCCACAGTTAAAAACGTTTAATCCCATCCCACCCTGTGGTGGTGGTAACAACAGAATCAAAGGGAATGGATGACTGCGAGAAGAACCTGTTGGTCCAGGAAAGGACATAAATGGTGCACAACACACAGTTGTGCAAGGATCCTCCTGGCAACAATGACTCCGTGTTTCTCAGGCAGGAGTCATGAGTCCAGGAGAATCCCCAGATTATGCACTGGATCTGTCTGGGACAGTGAAAGCCCATCCATGATCAAAGATGGTACTTCTCCAAAAACCAAGAAGCCATGGACACAAATCCACACCATTTTGTCAGGATCCAGTTTTACTATCGCTCCCCATCCAGAACTCAAAAAGCTCCAGGCGCATCCCAAAGATCATCTCTCCCAGCGGTTTCATTTAGATGTCAAACAGAAGCAGGGAAAGCATTACCCTTTGAAGGACCACACAAGGCAAGGGTCAGACCTCTCATTGCCAATCAACACTGCTTGGAAATGGGCTTCAAGAAAGAAGGCAAACCAGTGGCCCCCACTCCCAGTCCCTGAAGCAGCTTCGCCTCTCATCCAAGGGATCTTGGATGAGAAGCCAAACATCTTCAAAGAAAAACCAGGAGGTCCAGTTGCCTCTTGGAAAAGCACCTTTGGGAACAACCATGACCTGGATGTTTGAGAATCTCCCTAGACCATCCAAGGTCAATGGGATCAAAAGCCTTTTTTTTCTGTAGGTTCCCTCTTCTCTCCCTATATTATTTCTGTCCTACACAGCGAATGGCACAGGATGACACAGTGACAGTGGTTAAAGATGCTGGGTTTCTCAGCTGGAAAGCTGACAGCCTTGGTTTGAGATTCGAGCATCATGAGACAGGGTGAGCTCCAGGGGTGGGGTTCTACCAGCTTGGACTGGTTTGGGCGAACTGGTAGCTCTGACAATCAGCTGGGAGAGAACCAGTTCGCTCCCATGATCAAGTGGGCCCGCCCACCCACTCCTGCACTTTACTGACCTATATCTTCTCAGCTGAGTCACGCGGCAGAGTGGATTGCCACACCTCATCTGTTTTCCTCCCCAGCAGAATCACTGAACCAGTTGTTAAACCGGTAGGATCCCACCACTGGTGAGCTCCCATTATTTGTCCCAACTCATGTGCATCTAGCCGTTCGAAAGCCTGCAAATGCGAGTAGATAAATAGGTACCACTTTGATGGGAAGGTAACAGTGTTCCATGACATCATGCTGGTCATGATTGTGGAAATGTCTTCGGACAGCACTGGCTAAATGGCCTTGAAAGGGTGGTGAGCACTACTCCTTTAGGCAACAATGACTATCAGATTAAAATATGCAGGGACTCCTTTACCTTTTTTTACACAGCCAAGGCATCCTCCAAGCACTGGGCAGAAAAATGTTTGGTTGTATCAGATTACAGAAGGACAATAGGCAACAGGCAATCCTCTATGCTCCCCAAAACAAGTTCTTCAAAGCTAACTGAGCAGGAGATTAAAGCTGAAAGATCCAGTTCTGGTTGCCTGAGAAAATCTTGCAAAATAGTAGAAATTTTAACTGCATTTGAGGCAGAACCAAAAGATGAATCTGGCCCTTATTTGCATTAGGGATAGCATGAAATGTTTGAATCAAAATTTAACCAAACCAAACCAAGCATTAGCATTATTTGGATCAGACTAGGAACTTTACTCCAAATAAATATATAGTTTCAGTGCCCCATCTTTGAAGGTCCCATGGGTCTGGGAGATCAGAGGAAATAGTGGGTTGAGGATGGCCAAAGGAGGTCTTCCCACTTATTAAATCACTTGACAGAAACTCTAAAAATCCCAGGAATCTCAGGTGTTGCTGCTTCTTCTGCAGAGCCTCCGGTGGGGAAGGTGACCCACAAGGTGGTGGATGACAGCCTGGAGGTCCTCATCTGCCAGGCCTTTGGATTCTACCCCAAGGAGATCCAGGCCACCTGGAGGAGGGATGGAGAAGTCTGCCAGTATGAGACCCTCCAAAGGAACGTTGTGCCTAACTCAGATGGGACCTATAATGTCCAGCTCAGCATTGAGATCGACCCCAAGGAGAGGGATCATTATCAGTGTCACCTGGAGCATGAGGGCTTGCAAGAGACCATGGTCTTGGCTTCCCAGGAGGAAACAGGTGAGAGACAGGTAGAAGTATATTTTTCACCAATATTGAAAAATGCAGGGAGATGAAAGCTTTCTCCTGCCCCATCTCAAGTTTTCTGGCGGACAGCAGCAAATAGATCTGCATTTAGCAATGGGGGAGAAGCAATTTCTTGGGGAGCTGGGAGTGGAAACCTGAGGACAAAGATATAAAGGTATAAAGATGATTGACATTTGTATTTTTGTATTTGTTTATTATTTATAGGCCGCCCTTTTCCCTGAGAGGACTCAGGGCGGCTTACAATGTATGGGGAGGGGAATACAAAACAATAAGACATAAACAACACATAAGTAAAAATAGAACACAACATTCATTCATCATTCGGGTGGGGACGAATTACAATGTTTATNCATCCATCCATCCATCCATCCATCCATCCATCCATCCATCCATCTATCATCTAACAATCATCATCTATCATCTTTCTGTCTCTATTGCCTGCCTGTCTGTCCTTCCATCCATCCATCCATCCATCCATCCCTATCTACATCAATCAATCAATAGACAGGACTTAATAGACTCCTTTGCACTAGCTATTACCCACCAGACAATTTGGAAGGTTACTCATATAGCATTGAATTGTCAGAGAAAGTGGGAAAGTGACTAGGGGAAGGAGAACAGTTCTGAAATGGGCAATGTTTGTGATACATGCCTACAAAATAAAGGAGCAATTGGTATAATTAGGTTTGACATTGTTTCTGCGGGAGTCCTAATGACAAAAGACAAATTGTCCTTCAGAAATGGGATTGCATTGTTTCGGAAGAATCTGGCAAGGAAGAATGTGCCACTTTAGTTCCTGAGGCAAATGTTCCATCTCCTTCTGACTAGATCATACATTATTAATGAGCATCAGTTTCAAGTGTGAAAGAGCTGTTTGAAAAGTATTAACATAGTCTATTAGCTATGATTGGCACTGTCATCCCTTTCATTTTTGACTGCTAGCGAGAGGCATCCCAATAGATTTCTGTGCATCTGGACATTGTTAATACTCCTCTTGTTATGCTCTCTGGGCAACTGTGATATAGGTATTTCTGGCCAAAACAAGGATAAAGTTTATTGTTGTCGTTTTGCTTTTACTGTAATGTCTTCGTACCCAATGTATTAATTTTTGAGGGTCAATATGTTTAATGAAAATGCCACATTAGTTTATATTTTTTAAATGATTATATGTCTTTTGAAATACTTCCATCAGCAATTTTCAACAAGAAATGGGGGGGGGGAGGCAGAGTTTACAGCATATTACTCAGTTGTGGAATAAGCTGTGAGCAGAAAACAGATGCCTATACCAATGAACTCTGGCTGGTTGTCAATCTTGTTTTTCCCCATGTTACAAAAGAAATATCCACCTTTAATGAAAAACAATGGCAACACAATGTTTCATCCATATTGCATCGCATATGCATATCCCTACCTACATAGAGACACAATTATTTGGGGGTGGGGGTAGGGTGGAAGGTGAGTTGGGTTTTTCATAATTCAGCTGTGGGAAGTGAATAGAGATTTATTAATGATATCATAAGCTCCAGCTAATCAGTAATATCACACAGCCATCTTCTGTCCAAAGCTCCCAAATCTTTCCATTTCCTTTCTTTTTGGGGGGTGGGGGCGTGTAGAATAGATTTAGATTTAGATTTTTTAGATTTTACTTTATTTGTATGCCGCCCTTTTCCCTGAGGGGACTCAGGGCGGCTCACAATTCAAGGGAGGGGAAAAACAGACAAGTTACAAACATGAAAAACCATACACCGTTAAAAATCACAACAGTCATACTATTCAAGTGGGGTTGCGAGTCTTTAGCCCCAGGCCTGTCAGAACAGCCAGCTTTTAAGGGCTATGCGGAAGGCCTGGAG